GCCCCCGGCGGCGTCGAGCGCGCCCCCGGCCCATCCGGCTCCGTCTCGCACGTAGGCTCGATGGCGCGGCAGCTGCAGAAGGCGACCGTGCGCCTCCTCAGCGAGCAGACGTGCCGCCGCTTCTACCCAGTGCAGATCAGCAGCCGCATGCTGTGCGCCGGCTTCCCGCAGGGCGGCGTGGACAGCTGCTCGGTGAGCGCACTCTGCGGTGGGAGCGGGCGCTCCGCCGGCCAGAGTCGCACCCGCGGGGGCGGGGGTCGCGGGGCCAAGTTCTCATCGTTGCGAGGCCTACCGGGCAGGTGCCACGCTCCGACGCCCACTTCTCCAGCCCGCCAAGTAGGGCACCGATCCCGGCCTCGAATTCTCACTCCACCACCGTTTATTGGGCATGCTGCCCCTGGGCCCTGCAGAGGAGGGATGGAGGCTGGGCAGCGAGGCAGCGCGAAGTCCCCTTCTGGCCCGAGACCAATGCCCAGTGTCCGTGAATGTCTGCCGGCCAAAGCAGCGGGTGGTCCTAACACATCCCATCTCCCAGGAACTAGGAGGCTCAGGGGAAAGCGGCCCAGGCTCAAGGGCATCTGCGGGGGGGAGGGGGGTACTGGCCTGCTCTGAGGCCTTTCCTTTCCTCCCCTCAGGGTGACGCTGGGGGACCCCTGGCCTGCAGGGAGCCCTCTGGCCGGTGGGTGCTAACTGGTGTCACCAGCTGGGGTTACGGCTGCGGACGGCCCCACTTCCCGGGTGTCTATACTCGGGTGGCTGCCGTGAGAGGCTGGATCGGGCAGAACATCCAGGAGTGACCGGCCCGTGGCTGCCCACGCCTGGGACAAGAGAGGTGAACGCAGCAAGAAGCGGCTGGCCCCTCTGCCCAAGGAGGGGAGTCTGGGGCGCGGGCGGGAGGTGAGGGGCTGCGGGTAACCGGGTGCAATCTTACCGCGTATTTTGTTGCAATAAACAGCCCCTCGTACCTAGCCAGCCGGCTCAGCACCTCCGTGTCACAGCAGGACCACTTGCCCGCCCCTCAGCCCGGCCTGGGGGTGGGAGGGTGCGGGGGAGAGGAAGCGAGGCCTCCTGGGGGCGGGGACCACCCTCCAAGGCTTCGGCGCAGCAGCTGGGGAGGGGCTGGCCAGCCTCCTCTTCCCAAGTCCCCTTCGTGCAAGGAACCTGTTCCCGGTCATCGCGGACGCCCAGCCGCGCAGAGGGGAAGCGGGTCGGGGGGAAGAGGCTCAGTCTGGGCGGGGCACCCAGGACACGCGCTACCACCTCCCACAGAGACCCCCTGAAGGGAAGAGCGACGGGTTCTTTTCCGCCTCTCCCTCGTTTATTTGCCCGCCCACGTCAGGCGCCCACAGCTCAGGTGGGGCCCGAACTGCGGTCGGGTCAGGTCCAGCTGCGGATTCTCCGCCCGAGGCTCGAGGTGAGCCTGTGCACGCCAGGGGCCGTGCCGCCGGGCTGCCGGCACTTGGCCAAGTCCCAGGGCCCCCCCCCGGATCCACGCTGCGCTCGCGGGCAGGCGGGAGGGGAGCAGCGTCCCAAGGGTCGCCGGTCTCCTCAGCAGCACGGGCAGGCAGGACGCACGAGCGGACCCCCGCTTCGCAAAGGGCGCTTATGGAACTGGACTGGAGGGTGGGGGCCGGGCGCGACGGGGTCACATGTTGGCTCGTTCCCGCTGCAGCCGCGAGTTGTAGGCGCGGGACACGGTGTTCCAGGCGTCCATGTAGCGGTCCATGCACATGGCGATGCACTTCTGCAGGCGGGGAGGGCGCGCGGCTCAGCTCCGGCCCCGGCCGGCGCCCCCACCCC